ACTTTATATTTTATAGGGTGTTAATGGAGGGTAAATATAAAAAAATATTGTTAGTTTAAAAGTAAGTAAATACTTTATTAAAAAGTAAGATTGGTTTAAAAATGCCTTATATTTTTGAACGGAAAGAGTAAGTATTTTTAACATCAAGATGATAATGGATGTTCAATTGATTTAGAGTTGAGTTTGTGGTCATTTGTGACATTTCATATATAATTTAAGAATAAAAATGACTCTTAACTCATTTTTTTTAATTTTTAAAGTTTTTAATGAATCTTATATAATATGAGGATAGGTTGATGCATTGATAGAGACATGGAGTTAAGGAAGGCAAAGAGGAAGAAATTGAATCAAGTTAAAAATAAATGGGAGAATTTCATTTAAGGATTTGGAAGAAGAAACATATTTTTGATGTGTCTTAAAAGATTCTAAAACCTTAGTTCAATCCTTGTAGATTAAATTGAAAATAAGTTAAATGTAAAAAAACATGAAAATACCCTCAATTCAAATATTAAAAAAAAACCACCAACCACCATTACCAGAGTACCACTATCAATGACTAGAGCCTCGCTGGCGATGGTAGCCACTAGACCTCTTTCGCTAAAGCTCTGGTGGCCAGTTGGACCATCGTCGGTGGTGGTTGAAGAATTATGGAGAATTAATTTTTTCAAAGGTGGCCAAAATATGTGTAAAATCCAAGACCCCTTGGTTTACCAAAAGGTTTTGGAGCACTAAGCCACTCAACCCCATTTAATCATATAATGCATAAAGTTATATATATAATAAACATTATCTCCAAACCACTTGATTATTGTGTTACTTGTTAATTGTGTAACTTTACTTATTAGTATCTTAATAAGACTTGTTCATCACTTAACTTTCCTTGTTAACCCCATGACTCCTGTAACAGAACTAAATTTGTTAAGCACATAACTATACTTGTTAATACTTTAACAGGACTTGTCAATTACCTAACTCTCCTTGTTAAGTTTGTGATTCTCACAATAGAGCTACATTACTTGTTAATTGCATAATTGTAGTTGTTAATACCTTAACAAGACTTATTAATTATTTGAATTTATTTGTCAAATCCATGACTCCTCCAACTGAACTGCATTACTTATTAATCATGTAACTTTACTTGTTAATTACGCAACAATACTTGTTAATTATATAACTTGACTTATTAATATCATAATAAGACTTTTAACTGTTAATTACTTGTTAATTGCATAATTTTACTTGTTAATTCTTCAACAATACTTGTTAATTATCTATTGTCACTTGTTAAATGAATATATAATTTACATAAAAAATTGAATTTGTCAAATAATGAAAGCAACGACAGTTGAGTCTCCCTTATCAATATTCATCAAACTAGATACTCAATTATATAAGCGCACGCGCACGCACACACATATAGAGAGAAAGAGAGCAATAGCCTAAAAAACAAATACAATATTAACAATTAAAATTGAAGAAATGACAAGCTATATTAGGCCTTTAACAAGTATACTTCCTGTCATAATTCTTTAGAGGTTTGAAAATAAAATTTATTATACAGATAATTTTGAGGGAGTCACATAATTAATAAGTAAAGTTATATAGTTAACAAGTTAAGCTGCACATTGACAAGTATTGTTGCATAATTAACAAGTAAAGTTACATGATTAATAAGTAATGCAGTTCAATTGAAGGAGTCATGGATTTCACAAATAAATTTAAGTAATTAACAAGTCTTGTTAAAATATTAACAACTACAGTTATGTGATTAACGAGTAATGTAGCTTTATTGTGAGAGTCACAGACTTAACAAGAAAACTTAAGTAATTGACAAGTTTTGTTAAGGGATTAACAAGTATAGTTATGCGATTAATAAGTAATTTAATTCTACTGTAGGAGTCATGAAGTTAACAAGAAAAGTTAAGTAATTAATAAGTTCTGTTAAGGTATTGACAAGTAAAATTACATGATTAACAAGTAACGTAATAATCATGTGGTTTGGACATAAAGTTTATTATATATATAATTTTATGCATTATATGATTGAATGTATTGAGTGGCTTGGTGGTTTAAAATTTTTTGATGAACTAAGGGATTTTGAGTTTTATCCCACCTTGGCCATCTTTGAAGAAATTTAATTCTTTATAATTCTCCAATCACAGTCAATGGTGGTTCAGCCGTTGGCTAAAGCTCCGACGATAAAAGTACAGTGGTTGCCATCACTAACGAGGCTCCTGTCACCATCGGTAGTGCTCTAGCAATGGTGGCTGGTAGTTTTTTTTTTTAAATATTTAAACTAAAGGTATTTTTATCTTTTTTACATTCAACTTATTTTTAATTTAATTTCTGAGGATTGAATTAAGGGTTTGAAATCTTTTGAAACCTACTAGAAAATATATTTCTTCCTAGGTCTTTAAATAAAATTCTCCTAAAACAAATTTTAAATTTTGAAAGAGATCAAAAAATATAATAATAAAAATATTAACATGATCATAATAATATAGTTTATGAAAACACTCAATCAAAAATAATATCATTAAATAAATAGTATTCACAAAAATATGAAAATTGAGTAAATGGATTATTTATTATTAATATGAAAATAATGTGCATTGCTTCCTTTTAAATAACCTTCTTTAATTAAATGTGTTGGAGAAAGAAAGAAAGAAAAAAAATTAAAGAATTAATTAGGATGATATTATAAAAAGATTAAAGAGAAAATACGGTGATCTCCTTATATTTTGATAAAATTAAAGAGATCTCCTCTCTATTTTGAATAGTTGCAATTAAATTCAATTTTTAATATGGTTAGGAATACTTTGTTAAACTTTTTAAAATACTTAATTTTTTATTTGTAATTATGTTAAAATTTTAAGATTATTAATTTGCCTTTATGATCTAATTGTCTACCCTCTTTCCCAAATTTAAAAAATTTAAATAATTAAATATGTCAATATTTAAATAAATAATCTAAAATTTTTAACTATGTGTTTGAATTGTTTTAACAATTACTATATAAATATGTTTACAAAATTAAAAGATTTGAAATATAATTAAAAAAATAAAAAATATACACATGCACTTTTTTGAATATTTTAAATGATGTTTTAACAATATTTATATTTAAATAGAGATAATTTGATTCAATACATATGACTTAATAGTCAACTAATAATTTGTAATTATTTATATTAAAAAAGGTTTATATGTGTTTTAAGAATAAAAAAAAGTATTTGTAATTAATATAAAACAGAAAGGAAGTCAGAATATTTTATTTAATATTAAATGATATTAACAAAGAATATGGAGATTTTATATTTAAGATTAAAATAAATCTGTGGATTAGATCTTATATTCAAGATTGAAGCGAGCAAAAAGTAGGGAGCAGGAGATGGAGGGAAGGCGTGCACACAGGGGAGCATTTTAAAGAGAGAAATTAGGTACGTGAAAGAAAGGAGGCGGCAAAAAGAGCGGATGGGCTAAAAAGAGGAAAGGAAATGAATGCGCGGGGAAAAAATCACATCTAATGACCTCTTAAAAAAAATTATCTATAAACAAAAATTAATATAAAATTGTTTGTTGTTAAAAAATACTATCTCTTAACAAAAATATAAAAAAAAATTTAAAGAGTTAAATGATAAAAAAATGTAAATTATTTTTAGTCTTTCGAAATGTAATTATTTTTTTTTAAAGTACTCCTATTGATAATGACTTTATATTTATTATAGAGTATTTAATAGGAATAAATATAAAAAGATAGAGTTAATTGTAAAATAAATAACTACTTCGAGGGTGAGATTTAATTAAAAATACTTTATATTTTTAAATAAAAAGAATGATAATTTTTTTTATTTTCCCTCAAATAATAATTTGTCGTTGGTTTTTGTGTGAGAATAATTTTTATAAAAATTCTTGAATGCATTTCTTCCAGCATTTATCATCTGACGCAAGAGCTTCTCCTTCATTATTCTCAACTGTCTCAATTACTCTTGCATTTATTCAGTTTTTAATGTTCTTAATACGATCTCCTCCTTTCTTTTCAATGCTCGGAACTACCACAACCCAACTCTCTCTTCCCTTCCTTAAATCCGTACCCCCTTTTCCTTCCTCTCCGAACTAGCAACCTCTATGTATTTCACCACACACCTTTCACTCATTCTTGTTTCCACGCTCATACAAAATTGTTGCTAATTCTCGCTTTGTCCACTTGTTACTGCGACAAACTCAACCTTTTCACTCTAAGCTGAGGATGTTGATTCTCTGTCTCAGATGTCCGATTATATATATATATATATATATATATTTTTTTTTTATCACAAAGCCATGATAAAATTGTGTAAAAAGATCAAGATCTAGTTATATATAAAATCATAAAATTTTTACATTTATGTGACGGAACATTAAAAATTATAAAAATATTATATGAAAGCTAGGTTAAAAATTCAGTACATTTATTTACTTCTTTATAAATATAGTTAAAGATAATCATTTAATTTTTTATAAAAATTTAATTTTTTTGGTAGTGTCAGATAAAGGGTGACTATTGGAGTTGTAGGTATGGTTGATGAATGTTCGATTATACTTGCCGCCACGGAATCTAGACCTGAACTACGGTGTGCAAATAGAGCGATGGCTAGCATGCTGAGGTGGAAATGAGTCATTGTTGACTTCACTGCTATAAACACCCCCCCGGGGCAACGATAACAAATTAAGTAATGATATCGAGACAATTAAATGTGAATGTTTGAAGACTGTTGATGAACGTGGGTGGTAGTAGTTCACGAGATTGATTCATGAACATATTAATCATGTGGAAGAAGCAGATCGGCCTACCCGCGAGTGGGCCTTCCATTGAAAACCATTTTAACAGCCACTATGAGTTAGTACAAAGGATCTACCAGTTCCAGCATGGCGTTAAACGGTAACCTTTTCGGCGCTGCCATTTTAAGTTTTACGGTGGTTAGAACTTGAAAGCAATAGCAAAAGAAGGGATTCAGATATTCAAGGGAAACACATTCATTGTAGCCGTAATTACATTGTTGCAGCCAGCGAAGCAGAAAAACCTGAACCCAGAAGATAGATAGTCACATACACATAGATATCCGCAATTAGCATTCTGAGAAACCCCCCTAACTTGTTTGTTTCTGTATATATGATTAGAAAGAACAGTGCTATTCACGCTCCACTTTCTCTCACCCTCTTTGAATCCCCTGTTTTGACCCCACTTGAAATAGTGGAAAGATATGGCAAAAGTGGAGCGCACATAGCACTACTCTCGGAAGGGAAAAATATTATAGAAGAGCAAAAGAGAAAAGGAAACTTTAACAGAGAGATTCCTAGGATTAAAAAGCTAATATGTCCTAGCAGCATACGAGAAATTGCATAAAGGGAAACAGGGGAATGCTATTCTAGTTCCTCCTTCCGGTGGGGTTGTTGGTGTCATGGAGGAAATCCAGCAAAACGGTGCTCTTGCACTTGGGGCACTTGGGATCGTCCTCGCACAGCATCACGTACATGAGACAGCGAGGGCATCCCACCAACACCATCGACGTCGCTTCGGGGCTGTTCGAGTATCTCTGACCGTTCTCTTCTTGGTTGAGCTCCGACGACAAGCAGGAACTCGGCGGGGACGATGGAGACGCCGTGGCCGATCTGCTGGGAGACTCCAGTCTCCGGTCAGCTCTCGGTGGTGATAGGTTCAGCTTCAAGTCAAGCTTTGGACCGCTTCCGTTTCTGCGACTCATGGTTTGCGCCGCGTCACCTGCTTCGAGGAAAAATGGAAAGAAATGTCAGATCGAAAACTCAATGGCCAATGCAATGGAAAAACACAAAACAAACGATTCCGAAGGGAGAGGATTGGAATTGATTAGGTGGGAACCTGGTGATGTGGGGATGGACCTCAGAAAGAGAATGGAAAAGCTGGAAGAATAGTATCAAGATCCGGCAACACCAATATGATGTGTTTTGTGGGGATGATCTGAACATTGGAGGCCATTTTATACAAGGAAAATGAGGGGAGGTGAATTAAAGCTTAATTAAATTGTGGGAGAGAGGTGGAGAGAATAGCGTAGAGAGAGAGAGAGAGATGGAATTGAATTGAAGTTATTGGGTGGAAGATAGTGTAAATTGAGGGCAGGAAAAGAATTAATTGCTGGAAAAATCCCAAGAAGTATGCAGGAAGGGGAAATTTGGAGTAAATAATGCAATTACGAACTGCAGGCAAATGGCTTTTCTTCATTCATTGCCTGGGGCAGTCGGTGTTTAAAGAGTCTCACACCAATCCATCACACACGAGAACCTAAACCCTCATTTAAAATCTCAACCCCACCCAACAAATTTAATACCATCAATAACCCATCATTCCTTTCCGATACTCCTGCAACTCACCATGGAAAACCTTGCCTAGCTAACGTTTTTCAACTGTAGTTTGAAGTAAGAATAAACTAAGCATGACATGTCCATTTTCTTAAATTACCACATGTTAACAGAAATGGCTGGCTCTCATCAGATAGCAGGTAGCACCCTTTCCTCTGACTCTTCAAGGTATGCTCCTAATGGGAGTGAACGGATTTCTCACTGTCTCATTTGACTGTTCTGAGTTGCTTTACGCAGTACAAGGATTTGTCCACTGTTCAACAGACATCACATGACTCCTCGTGTTTCATTACGGGGACCATTATATTATATGTATTGATTCTTTATAAAACGTTGGTGTGCTTCTTATACCCTGAATCCTTTTTCATGATTTGTCAATGTAAGAGTAGGGGCAGCCACAGCAGGACGCTATGGAAATGGAATATTTACTAGACTCCACCTCCGAGGCTTCCTCATATACAGGAAACAAACAATGGATTGGAGCTTCAGTCTCTAAATGATGGAACCTTTCTGAATTTACTACTGTCATTTTAACATTCTAAAGGTTTTCGCCCTCGCCTGCAAAGCAAGATGCAGGCCTTTTTAAGTATATTTACTAACCAAAACCCTGGGTGAAGGAAATTGTAAGAGGTGGGGTGAGAGTTGAGTGAGAGAGACCAAGTGCAGAGAAACAGCTTATATTTCCATACGAGGAAGTTCAGGGTCAACGTGGCATATGTTCATGGAACTTGCTTTAAATGATGTGTTGCGGCTTACTATAAATAGACAACTGTATCTCATGGTCATGGGTGACAAATAAGGACAATATCTATCTATATATCTATCTTCACTTGAACCATCGCAGATGAACGATCAATATTCATAAATCAAAGTACCACCAACCTTTCAAAAAAGTAGCGGTTCCCTTCCATTATTCCATCTACCATTTGCTTCTTTTATGGTTTTTTAATACATATCTGCTCAACGAGCTGGCATCTATATTTATCAGATAAATTGAAATGGTTGACTTTAATCATATTTAATTTTAATATTTTATAATTCCCTCCTTCCCCTGTTTTGCGTTCAAGAATAAATTAATGGCACTGCCAGCCATCTTCATTCCATTTTCCGCAGATTCATACGGCTATTTACTCGGTATAGACATTTTGCGTGCGTTAGCATAATTGACTTCATGTTTGTTTTGATTAAATTTTCTTAATTCAAAACTTGGCATAAACAGAGACTCAAATCCTGCTCTGGTGATTTTTTCCCTTCCTTTTCTTAGTAATCTTGGGCAGAAAATAGAGCTGTGAATTAATATCTCCTGCTGACACATAAGTTCCTTGGTAATAGTACTAAATATGGGGGATAATTGCATTAACCTATAACTGATCATTTTGGTTAATTTCATAGTAAATATTAAGCTGCTTTACCTGTAATGAGTTGAATCTTTAATAAGAACCACCAGAACTGCAGGAGCTAGAATCAACTACGCTATCTTGTTTGAAATTTGGCTAAGCACGTAATAATAATATATCGGCCAATTCATTAATGAGAATATGGAGCTTTCAAGGCAAACACAGTCGCTACTGCTCCCGTTTTTCCAGAAAATTATGGATCCAAGGGTAACACAAGCAAGTGAAAATGAAATAGATATTATTACAGTAACGCAAACAATACCACCACTCTGCTTTTATTAATTTCACAGCGAAAGAAAAGCAAGAGCTTTTTTTTATTCGCACAGAAACTATGTCCTCACACATTTGTATCAGCAAAGGTAACAAGAAGAAGCCGGTGGTAAGAGGCAATATTGCGGACAGTAACAGCTTTTTATATGAATTTGCAGTGACATCGTACTTTGGAGATGGACGAGCAACGAATTCATTTTGCTTTAAAGAAAAGTCCCTGTCTGTGTCACTGTGTGCGTCTTTAATTCTCATGTGGAGTATGTGACTAGTAACTAGACGTTATCTTCCAACTCAGTTAGGAGTGCTGAATAAATCTCGATTCACAAAAAAAAAAAAAAAACAATTACATTAAGATGAAATCATACTTGCATTTTGGCAGAGGATTATTTGACCAGCAATATTTAAAGTGAGAGATGGACGGCTGGGGAAGAGTTTATTTTCTTGACACATCTAAAGGCTTCGAAATTTGACTTGATTTTGGGCTGTTATTATATGAATGGTTGACCCAGCTTTTCTGGATCTATCAACCTCCAGGAAATTAAATTCTCTTCGTTGTCTTTTGGAGATTTCTGAAATATCGCAAACTCGATGTAAAACATTAATGCCCAGTCCAGCATTCAAATTTCAAAGACAAGTGCTATTCAATTCCCCCGCAAAAACAAAACAAAACGGATGGAAATCGATAAATATCTCACCATATCTTCAGCAAATTTATCAACACACACATTTGATTTAAACTTGTTAAGAAATTAAAATGCATTATTGTTGAAATGACAGTGTTCAGAAAGATTTCAACCACTATGCACTGAACGCTGCAGCATTTACGCAGAGGTATTGTGAACAATTTAATCAAGCAGATCCAAAGCCATAAATTATACAGTACTAGTAGCTTATTAATTAGTCTGAGTGAAACAGTCCTACGCTAACAAAGGAACTATTTTTTGTGCAGACCAAACTCACCAACACCAGATACAGCACTATTAACGACACACCATAACCAGTTAACCACCCATGGTTCTTCTGTTTTTTTTTTTTTTTTTTTGGTTTGATGGGGATTGTAATAACAGAAACCACATGAATTAAATTGATGGACTTCAATTCGCGGATCTGTTGAAGTAAAGCAACCCCCATTATTTTATGCATAAAATCAAGTTGCACTTCTCAACCAGAAATCCTTCAATGCCTTCATTAAACACCTCATCCCAGGATCCACCCTTTCACGTGACACTTGAATAGAGTCTCCCCGTTTCGCAAATATTATCACGCTGTGTTGTAGAAATCTAATTAGGCCACATAATTAATTATATTGCTCCCTTGATGTCGTTTCCAGGTTCTTAGCACATTGAATTAACGCCGTTTTGTGAGGAGCACATGTATTAAAACATGTATTTTGCACTATATGCAGATCATGTAAGTTCCGTCGTAGTTTAATAATTAGATCATTCACATCACATGGAAGCATCTGATCCGGCCTATATCATCATTTGCAGGTCAAGAGAAATAAAATACAAAATGAAAATGGAATTTTTTTCCCTCCAATTTGAAGTTAGCGGTTTCACTCTCCCCGTTTTTTATCACTAGCAATGTTACTTTTTCAATTTTTCATTGAAAAAATTTTGATTTTAGTTAAATTTTTCATCTTTTTTTTAATGGGAGGTCATGAAAAGACCGTACTAACTAACATATTGAGTCATGTCAGCGTACAAAAAATCCCTACAACCAAGGGACGCAGTGTTAAAAATAAATACATTGAAATTATCGGTAGAGGCTTGGTGGGTCAACTAATCAGCGCAAGTGTTCGCTTCTCTGAAAACGTGATCAAAGATAACATTCCAATCTCACATAATGAGATTGTTAATATCATTGATAGTAACAAAAAGAGAGTGATTGATAGAGAACTCATTGTGAATCAACGATAGAGCTTCAGTTGAATCAGAGTAGACATTGACTTTGTTAAACTTTTTAGCCCAGCAGATATTAAGTCTTTCCAGGATACCCATAAGTTCAATAGTTGTACTTGGATGATATCTAAGATATTTGAAGAAGTCTTTAATCCAATTTTCTTGTTTGTTCCATATGAGACCACCACAAGAAGCTGCACCAATAGAATTAACGAAGCCATCAGTATCTAACCTAACTCATCCTTCCTCATACATAGGGTTATAAAAAAAAACTAGGTTGGTTCTATGTGTATTGTACAACATTTGTAAAATGATTTATGGTAGTATTTATAAGTTGTAAATATAGTTGGACTTGCCACAAATTTTTTAATTAGCTTAATTAACTTTTTTTGCGGTGACAACCAATTAGTTCGGCTTAATTAACATTGACGTTACTTCTGCGAATAGCAAAACCTTGTCAAAACTGGACTAAAGCCCAGCTGAATGGGTAAAACGTTGGAACCATCAGTTTGCATGTGGGCCCGTTTAAGCATGAATGGAGTAATGGACGCACAAAGATGACCATAAACAGAAAATAATATGAGGAAACGAGAATTGGGTATTGTGAAAAAAGCTAGTCGCTCACAACATACGAACTAATGTTTAAATTTTTTATAGAAGAAATATTCATATTTAGTATCCAACATGATAATAATTCAAATATAATTGCTTCTGATAAATGAATGCTAATAGATAATAAAAAAATGATATCAGTAACATTGAAATAACATTATAATAGTGTGGATCTAAACTTTTATAACATATATTGATGATGATATATTAACATCGATGCACTGAGTATTGACCAATACGATGGACGCCGCAGAAAAATATCTCATGCCCTGTGAATTACTAGTAGACAAGGCCCACAGCCCCACACGTTACTGCAACATTTTCATTGCAAGATAGTGGTGGCTGATAATGAGCAACCCAGATGATCAATTGCTTATGGTTGAAGAGGGAAAAGAAGGTAACGCCATTAATGATAATCAATTAGTATGGGAGAGGAATTTGAGAAATGAAGGAAGGAGCTTTCCATGAGAATTACGTACTGCATTTGATTTAAATTGAAGGCACTTTAATAAAGGTTTGCAGCCTCACATGCTTTTGCTTGTCCTTAAAAGACCCTGCTAACTGCTAACCACTAACATAATTGCTCTTTTCCATCCACCAAGCGGCAAAAAAGCTGAAAACTAGAGCATGTAATGTTGCAACTCTTCACGAAGACCCTGATCTAAATCATTGATCAAGGCCCTGACAGTTGTTCCTTACTTCCTTTGATGGAGAATGAACAGCACTGTAATTAGGTAACCTCAACAAGCTTGATTGAGTATGCTCGTATGAAAAGTACTCTTCTGTTATT